ATATATATATTTCTTTCAATTTTTGCTGGTAAATACTTTGAACCCCAGTAAAGACAATACCCAGAAAGCTTAAACTACTTGCCTAAGATTCTATGATGGCCAGTGAATTCTGAAACTGAAATTTGAGCCCAGAACTTACTAGCTATATACCAATAGCTCTTGACTGGGGTCAATTCTGTACTGCTTCTGTGATGGAGTAGTATGTAGAACATTTCTGTTTCAACTGAGAAAGTGAGTGCTACTGGAACCTAGTGCACACAGGCTGGGGACAGCGCTAAATGTCCTACAATGCACAGGGACCTCCTCCCTCCCTCGGTAAATAATTACCTGTCCCAAAATGCTAGTGCTTCTGAGGCTGAGAGACCCTGCAGTCCTACTGCTCTCTTACTATACACTGCTGCCTCACTGTAATACAGTAAAGCACAGTGTTAATATTCTGGTGCTGGTGCCATTCGATATTGCAATAAAGTTACTTCTGAAAATGACATACGAAAAAAGAAAAAAGAAAAAAGATACATTTTTCTGACACTCTTTTGGGGAATTTCTCTCTTATTTGAAATGGTCATAGGGAAATTGTTAACATAGTGTTTCAGCTACCTGGGAATACATAGACTTGCATTTAAAGCTAGCTAAGATAGTTATGCTATTCTTTATCTTGATATGGTTTTGGTTCAGGGTTGAACAGGACCCTAAGAACCAGCCAGAGTCACTTGTGGAATTGGTACATGAAATTTTACAAAGAGTTTTCATTATGCTAGGGTTGCAAAGATGAAATACTGAGCTCTGGAGTATAAACAAGGCAGCGAAGAATTTAGCACTAGGAGGGAACGAGGTCAAGAAACCAAGGAAGCACTAAAAATACCACACAGTCCCTCTAGTTCAGATCCAGCATACTAAACTACCTTCCTGGTGAAAAAATTTTTTACCTTTGCTTAAGTTAGCTTTGGTTGAGGCCTCATCATTTTTAATCAAAAGAACCTTGAACAATAGCATGCATGCTTTCTTGGCATATTTTTTTCAGCAATTATATTAGAAAATAACTATGTTGTGTCCACACAATGTTATTTCTAATAAGAAAAACAAAGAGCACAGAATCTACCCTTGACAAATATCAAGCATAGGTAAGACTTATAAACACTACAACTTCATCTTATTTGAAAATGAGTGCACTAAGGACTGGGTTTAATTTTTTATGTATTTATGGGGTACAGTATGAACATTCTATACATGCATACAATGTGTAACAATTAAATGGTAATTATCATTTCCATCTCCATAAATATTTATTTTCTTTGAGCTCTCAGAACCTTCAAACTCCCCTTTTCCACTCTTTATAGAAAATACAGTAATTTTTAAAGGTTATAGTTACCCTTGTACTGCATAACACCCCATAACTTATTTTTCCTGCTTAACAGTATCACGGTACTCCTAACTCCCCTTATGATCTTCTACTGACTACTATACTCAATTTCTATGAATTCAACTCTTTTAGCTTCCACATACTAGTATTTGCCTTTTCTGTGCCTGATTTATTTTACTTGACACAATGAAGGCCCAAGTTTCCCAATTCCCTACTCCATCCTAAATTACGCTCACGGCAATGATTGGCACACATGTAATAACTGATTGCTGAATGGCTAAACAAATTGCACCTGTGGTTATTTTTGTTAGGCTTTTTATAGACAACACTCTGATTTTTCTCATTTTCTTTTCCTAACATACAATACCACTGACCTTTGGGAAACTCATTACATTATGCACTAAGGCAGATTCTGAAAACTCAGATTGCTCATTGTAATAAATTATACCAGTCTGCAAAGTGAGAAACTATTTTATAAGAACTATCTGAAGTTTCCTAAACCAATTTAAAAATCCTAAAGCATGTTAGCATTACATTTGGTCTGTGTTCATAGCTTTTCTAAACTTATCAAAATACCGAAAAATATATAAAATATTCAAACAGAACATAGTTGAATTTTTATTGACTATCGTTAATTTTTTTATTGAAAAATGCATATTAGTTGGAAAAAGTCACACCAGATAAATAAGAAATGCAGGACAGATAGGGAACAATCAGTATTTGGAGGGAGCAGCTGGGAAATTTTTTTATTAAGCTATTGCTGCTTTCAGACAGAAATTCTGGTTAAAGGATCTGTCACAGACATGCTGAATTCCAATATGTTTATCTAAACAGAATTTGAAGTCTCTTTACAGTAGCAGCAAAAACTATTTACAGGATACACAAAACATTTTAGCTCTTGCTACTTTCCTCTAGTCTTGTATTGATCTGAGGACCTCAAGGTTTAGCTTTTTCCAATCCCAGAACTCCTCTTGTTGGTCTCCCTATTCTCAGTCTTGTTTGGCTATTCTTTGGTAACCTGTAACAAGATTGAAAATACACTCACTTAGATCCCAACTCGGCCTGTAAAAACAGTCAAGCTCCGGTAGAGAAGCGTTCAACCTTGTGCCACGGGCAATGGCAATCCTGAACAAAGGAGAATGGGCTTAATGTCAAGATTCTATTCCTGGTTGCAACTGCTTCTCCAGTTGCAGAAAAAGCCTTTGTAGCAAAATGATGTTTAGTAGACAAAACCACTCTCTAAATGGTCGTCTTGGACACAGATCATCAAGATCCATAACCAGGATAGCTGTGTAAACTGTTGGGTAAGATCCAGGTAGGGAGAAGCAGACATCAGAGTCTGGACCATCGTAGGCAACAGTTAAAAACAGTTTACATGACTTGTGTTGTAAATTGTACATTTAGGCATTTTCCTGCAGAAATGGCTGTCTAAAGCACCTGTCTTAGAGTCTGGCATCTTCACTTTACCTGCTGCACTCTGTGAAAGTCCTACTTGATTCTTGGCACCTCCACCATTACCAGGAAAGTCCTAAACTTCAGGAATTAACAGTTTGAATCAATTTTTAAAGTACTGAAATTAAACACAGGGCCTTAACACTCATCTACAGCCTTGACTCCCTTTTATAATTTATTTTTAAATTTTGAGGTAGGGTCTCCCTAAGTCACTCAGTTTCTTTGGCTGGGCTCAAACCTGTGACCCATTACACATGGTCTGTGCTCATAGCTTTGCTAAACTTATTAAAAATAGTAAAACATATAAAATATTCAAATAGAACGGTTGAATTTTTATTATCTATCATATTACTTTATTTAAAATGCATCTTGTTTGGAAAAAGTCAAACATAAGACTATACTTTGACCAAATAAATAAGGAATGCAGAACAAATAGGGAATACCAAGTATTTGGGAGAGCAGCTGGGAAATTTTTGATTAAGTTATTTCTGCTTTCAAACAGAAATTTCCAGAGTGATAATTATTTTTTTCAAAGATTATAAAATCTTAACATGTTGGTATTAATAGTCACATTTCAAATATTCTAACAGGCCTTTTATTGTATTTATTGGTCATAAAACAGGTAATTTGAAAAATTAAGTGACTTTCATGGTTGAATATTATTTCATATCACCATGGTCATTGTCACTAAACTGGTAACTGCAATGTACCTTAGGAGATAAGAAATCTAGGAGTTATAAAAAAATCATGGGACTGCTCTTTATACGTATTGTCTTATTCTATTATAAGAATGGTTATGAATGTCTAATAAGAATGACTAATTATGACTTATGACCATAAGTGAATGACTTCTATAAATCTATTTTACAGTATATACAATGTATTTTATTAAACCCTCAGTATTTCTTAAACTTCTGTTCTTGTTTTTTTGCCCATTAATAGTGATTATCATATCACATATTGTGTCTTTTATTTATTTATTTTTTATACAGTCTGTCTCTCTCCTACCAAACCATAAGGTCCATGAGCTCAAGCGCCTACGAGCTCTGCATCGGGTGCTATGTGGACTGTTAAACAGTCACCACAAAAAACACCATTATTCCTTCTTTTCTTCTCTTTGGCCATGACTTAGTCTGGGAGTTTATTAGAATTATTTTCAGAGAGCGCTGACAAATAAATTGCTATGTGATTCTAGGATAATGTTAGTTCTCTGTGCTTCAGTTTTAGGTGCAACTAAACAAAGGGATTGGAATAATTTTTATGGTCCTTCCCAGGTACAACATTTGTTCTCGTCTGTAACCCTGATTCCTAGAATAGAGAAATCATCTAATAAATAATTTAGTACAGCAGTGCTTGTACATAATGTGCAAATAAATATACACATTCCTCTGTAAATACTAAAGAACTTTTTTCTCATAGGGTTGTATTAGTAAAGTTTAACACCCTCTAAGGTAGGCAACATTTAGACATTTAACTCTGTTAGGGAATTGGTTAAAGGAACCGAAATGACATAATACAAAGAAAGAACTTGCTGTACAAATTCTTCCTTGTAGTGAAGACTCATCAGGAGGGGACTTAATTCTGGATATTTGCTTGGGTGGGCTATTTCAGTTATGTCAAAATAGAATAAACAGGAAATAACAGTTTGAATCAATTTTTAAAGTACTGAAGCTGAACACAGGGGCTTAGCACTCATCTGCAGCCCTGGCTCCCTTTTATTATTTGTTTATTTTTATATTCTGAGGTAGGGTCTCCCTAAGACTCCCTACTGATTGACATGGTACAGTGGATTTAGAGCAGAGCAGGAACTATAGTGACATCCATTACCTTAGCTAACTGATTAACAAAAACAACAAAATAACTAACAATAAAAAATGAAAGAAAACCATAACCCTGATGTGAGTTTATTTCAGGAGTAAAGGACAAATCTGCTTCTGGAACGAAACATTAAGAAGAGCTGGAAGACAGTCGGGAATTATCCCTTTGAAGGCCCTGTGGCAGGGGAATGCAATGAGGTTATTCAAATAAAACTCTCTGAAGAATAGCAGACTATAGTCGAATGTCTTTACTCTAAGACATTTAAGTGTTAAAGGTGGAGCAGAGGTTTCTGGTTATGGAATATTTATATATGAGGCCAGGTGCTCTGCAGCACTCCCACGCTGGCTTTGTGTTTTGATATTATGCTTTGGAGAGCAAAGACTGAGCAGTGCATCTGACCTCAGCACTGCTGCTGCATAGCTTTCCAGACTTGGCATTATCCACAGTCAGTAGACACCCACAGAACTGAGCTGCACATGCAATTCAGTATGGCACGGAGAAACATTAGCTGTTGCCAGCTAACTAAAATCCAATTTGTCTATGACTGGCATTAGAAAAGGACAAGCTTTCTCTGCTACTTAAGTACTCAAGAAACTTGAACAGTTTGAAGTTGGGATGGAATAATAAAATGTGAGCTGGGGAAGTGTAAGAGCTTTGCTCAGAAGATAACTGGAAGAAAGCAATGAGACATTGTAATAAGTGTACTTTGTGTATAGGTTTAGAAATGATTTATGGCTACATAGTCTTTCTTTGTATCTTGGACATTTAAAATCACAGTAGAGGTCATTTTCCATCACTACTGTCTCAGAAACCATCAGTTGCTTTGAGGAAGGCAAATGAGTGGACAGTGCCTAAATTTTAAAGTGAGGAATCGGGAAATGAAAATATTTTGTCAGTTTGAACAGTGCACTGATCACTGTTTCTATCATCGTGGACAGGTCATAGAGGTACAAATGTGTGAACTATCCTGTTCTATAGTATTATCAACCACCAGAGTAATTGTTATAGAGAAAATAAAAGCAAGACAGAGTGCACAAAAGATTATATATCTCAAAAGAACAATCCTAGATGACATATATTGATAAAGCACTGCCTGAAAGCATTTCTTCTTTCTTGAAAGTGATATCTAGCCTAAATTTATTTGCCTTCTATGGCAGTGCACTGAATTGCTTTATGATAGAAATGAAAAGTAAGCATTACTCTTTTCATTTTACTTGTAGGTCCAGACTGCTGCATGAGCACAGTCTTGCCACATTAGAACAATGAGGAGGTATTAGAGGTCATGTGTGGAGCAGGTGCTCAAAGGGCAAAGACTTTTAGCTGGCCTTTACTTCAAAATCAACTCAGAGTGAAAGTTTCCTCAGCTTCTCAAACTTAGCCATTGACCCAGAGCAACTCTTAAGAAGATAAGGACTAATCTGAGTGAGAACAAAATGTGCATTTCTCCCTCAAAAGCCTATGTGTTTACAATCACAGAATGACAGCACTGTCCCTGCAGGCACTTACATCTTGGTTAGACATTTCCCAGTAAGGTCTCTCTCCGTAGGACATGACCTCCCACATGACAATGCCGTAGCTCCATGCGTCACTGGCTGAGGAAAATTTTCTGTAGGCGATAGCCTCTGGAGCTGTCCATCTTATGGGGATTTTCCCACCCTGAAAAATAGATTCAAGATTTCTCAGTTCATTCACAAGTGAATTAAGAAACAAAGTGGTATTCTAGTTAAATATCTTTTGTTAGAAAGATCTAAATACTTCAGAATATTGTTGGCATTTTAAATTCAAATAAAAGTAAGAATAATGTTAAAATGTCAGAAATAATTTTCTTATAACAAATAATTAGTGAAAAGGAGCTTTAATGGGAAAAAGTCACACTTCAAAAATATTTTATTTCATTCATTAAAGAAATTTATTTTTACTTTAGATTCACACAATTAAACCCAGTATTAAGCTATTTGAAGAAAGTTCCAGAATATAGGATATTAAAACTACATATCATTCAACACTCGTTAGGCATTATATTACATTTATAAATAATAATGACTGTGAAGCTCTAATTTAATTGAACACTGTGGTTAAATACAGAACTGAGATTTTCTGCACCAATTTATTCGAACTATTTCATTTTCTTCCTTTTCATTTACTATGATTGTATTTACTTTAAAGAAAACATTACCTAACACTATACAAGAGTACTTGAGAAGGATAATCTTGTTTTAAAAAGCACTTTAGGTAAGTTTTTATTTTCTCTTTTCAGTGTTCAAGTTAACATTTGAACATATTCAAGATTAAATTGCACAAATTTAATCTATGCTGCTTAAGTGTTAAAGTACACCACTATATTATACTTAAGTTTTATGAATATTTATTACATTTTATCTTCTGAAACACGCTATAAATCCCTTTTTCTGAATTCATTCATTTGATTTACAGTCTTTAAAATCTTTGCAGACTGAATTCCAAATTGGGAGGATAAGGGAAATCCTAGTGCCACTAGATGGCGGTAGAGAACAAGGAGCGGCTCCAGACAGCGTCTCAACCAGCGAAGGGTTCAGTTAGCAGCAAAATTATTTCCAAAAGTCAGATCCCAAAGCAGTGGAAAGGTTTCAACATTGTCAGTATCTTCAGTCAGCATTTTTACGATCACAGCATCTGCTTTGCCACTGTGGGAAAAGTCTGATGTTATAAAGTGAGTGGAAATAAAGGGTATGCTTTTGGCCTCTTGAGGAATTTAGCTCAAACAAATCTTTTAAGGTGAATTTATTAATTATTAATTGAGTAATCTAATCATTACTTATTTAGCAATCCAAACATGATTTACTTGAAGAGTAAAGGGATTTTTATGAGATGAGAACCATTTTGGTTTCCCAATGTCAATGAGAGAATTAATGGAATCCTAATTTCAAAGACTGTTAGCATGGAATTTTCAGGAGCCCTGGAGAAAACACCTTGAATCCAGTTTCTAGATTTTTACAGATGAACAAAATGAGCCCAGGGTTTAGGGATATGGAGATATCTTGTCATATTATTACATACCTAATGTCTACTAATGCTGTCACAATAGTGCTATTGAACATGGATATAAAGATGTAAATACTCCAGCATAGAGGTAGAAGTTGGATTCAACTAAGTTTAATGTTTTAACACATATTTGTAAACACTATCACAGCAGTTAAATGGAAGGGCGCATGAAGCCTGGTGTTTTCATGCTTTGGGACAGCGTTTAAAAGCAACATCAAATTAGGACTAGAAAATTAAATTTACAAAGAAAGTGATGCAGTTTGAGAGGAAAGGGGAAAGGGTGGGCAACAGGAAGTTACAAGGATTCCTCCTTTAACCTAAAGTAGAGCTGCCAGGAAAAAAACACAGGGTAAAGTGATGTTCTGAAACAAACAGGTATCGTCTTTATGAGGGGACAGGGACACTCTTACTTGTGTTTGTGGACAAATACTGCAACGTCCTCGTTTAACCATGTGTTTGGGGCTAAAGCGCCTCAGTTTTGTTGCTCTGAAGCCACTTAAGTAAAACTCAGGCTGGTTTCAAATATGGAAGTCACCCATTCAGAGAAGAAAGACCAGATCTGTAGATTCGACCTTGTGAGCAGCTGTCTCATCTGACATTTCTGACTTTGGGGTTTTCTTTGTTCTGGCAAACAAAATGTGGAGGTGTGAACCACTAATTTGTTTGGCTGTCCCTTTGCTAAATCTTTGTGGGTTTTAAAAAAAAAGAGTTAATGGCTATTTTATGTTCACTCATCTTTTCATTTATAATTGATATCTCACATAAATGATTCATATGCAAATTTATATTTCAAGAAACTTGGTATAATATTTAAAGGATAATTTTCTCAGATTTTGTCATAATACTTGATTACCCCCCCCAAGGGGAAAGTATACAGAATACTTGACAAATAGCATTGCTTCCTGCTATGATCTGAATTGCGCTCCTTCAGAATATGCTGAAGCCTCATCCTCCAATAGGACCAAATTTAAAGACAAGGTTTTGAAAGAGGTAATTAAAAATAAATTAAATGATAAAGATGTGGTTCTACCCAGTGTGACTTGTATCCTTATAAAATGAACAGACAGCAGAGGTGTAAAGGTATATAGAGAAAATGCTGTGAGGAAAATCCTCAGAATGAAGCCCGAAATCTGTGAGCCAAAAAGAGAGGCTTCAGGCAGAGCCACACTTTCTGACACATTGATTTTTGCCTTCTAGCCTCCAGAGCAGTGAGAAATAAATTCTATGGTTTAAACCATCCCATCTATTTTATTTTATCATGTCAACCTCAGCAGACTAATTAATACACTATGCCCATGAAAAACTAACAGTTTTTGAAAGTATTGGTGAAAATGAGCACCACTGCAAAATAAACAGCACATCTTCATTTTAAATTCTGCTCTGTTATCTTGAAATGGAAATTGTGAGCTAGAGTAAATCTTAAAGGCAACATTGCCTTAAGTCATTTTCCTCCTTGCTGGAACAAAATATCCGACACCTGCAACTGCAGAGAGAAGAGGTTTATTGTGGCTCACAGTTGTTTGAGTCTGTAGTTGGCTGACTCTAAGGGAAGATGGCACGGAGATGGGGATGGAAGTGGAAAAACTGCTCATCTCCTGGTGGCCAGGAACCAGGGAGTCCAGGGAGGAGCCAGAAAGGGTGATGTAACTTTCCAGACCACACCCATAGTCATGGCCTCTTCAAACCTGACCCCGTCTCTTAAAAGGAAACCAGCTATAACTCTTCCATAATCCAAGTACCTTACAAAAGATAAGCACATGAGGCTCTTAGGGGCATCTAGATATAAATCATAGCATTCTGCTCCTGACACCCCAAAAACTTATGTGCATCTCTTTATGCAAAATACATTTTGTCCATCTTTAAAGAGTTGCCAAAGTTTTAATAAGATTCAGGGTTGCAGTTGCCAAAGTTTTAATAAGATTCAGCGTTGCTGAAAAGTCCATCTAGTGTCTCCTCTCAGACCTTAAGCATACTCTTAGCTGTGGGCCTCAAAAAATCAAATGGCAAGTTAAACACTGGTAACATAGAAAGGCCTGGGATAAATATTCCCATTCCAAAAAGGAAAAATGATATAGAAAGCAATGAGACTTCAGCAAGGCTGAAACTCAGCCTGGGGAACATTGAATCTTGTAGCTCTGGGTCTAGTACCCGGGGCAAGTTTTGGCAAGAAAGTGAACTCTAAATGGCGCAGGAGGCTCTGCCACTACAGCTTTGCCTGTTGTACCCCAGGTAGCTTTTCTTTTGGGTTGGCTCTACTCACTGCTTGTGGGCTTCATCAGCTAAAGTTCTATGTTCCTGGCATCTCCAACTCGCTGGGGTCTCTACTGCACATTTGGCTTACTCTCACAGCTTTATGCACTGCCCTCTCAGGGGCACACTTCCTGCCCTCCCAGGCCTTTTTCTGAAATCTTGGTGGAAGCCTTCCTGATGCCTTCCTCAGAGTGCCCTCTTGCAGTCTGCATGTCTGTAAAACAAGAATCATGTGGACTATACCAAGTTCTGTTGCCAGCCAGAGCAGTAGCAAGCGCCCTTGTATCACGGTTGTGCAGGTCTCCAAGTGCCTGGATCCTAAGCACTGTGAAATCAATCCTGGAAAATTAGTTCCCTGGGTGGCCCTTTTGTGGGCATGGTACCCTTGGGTCCTCTTCTCAAACAAAAGCTTCACAGACTTGTACCCTCAAGCGTGCAATGGATGGAGTCTTGCAGATTTCTCACATGTCCTCACAGCATATTTCCTGTTGTCTCAATGCAAAGTACTTTGTCTTTTTAATCTTTTTAGCCACCAAAATCTTCTCTGCTCCACCTTGCAGGCCCTTTCTTACTGACGAAACAGGAAATTCTTCAAGTGGATTTTCCTCCTGATTTTCCGTATAAACTTGGTTTAAAGCAGCAAGCAATACCCATGCTACAGCTTGAATGTTAAGCTGCATTGAAATTTCCTCCACTTGATTACTTAGGCCACTGTCTTTAATTTTAGTCTCCTAAAACTCTCAAGATTTGAGAAAAATGTAGACAAATTATCTTCCAGAGGATAACACGTACGGCCTGGAATCCAACTGTCAATGGAGCCCTTATTCCCAACTGAAACCTCCTGAGCCAAGTATTTTCCTTTTTTTGTCAACATTCTGATCTTCTGAGTTATGACTAGAATCTCCTATCAAGCTTGGCTTGCTGCTTCTGCAGCTAGCATCTCCAAATTTTTCCAAATTCCCCCCAGGAACCAATTCGAAAGCCATTTAAACCATATGGTCAAGTACAGCCACAGCCATGACCCACTTCTCCGTCTTAGTTAACCTGTTTTGTCAATTTTCTTATTGTTGGGACAATATGCAACTTACACATACAACTTAAAAGAGGAAATGTTTATTTTGGCTCACACTCTTAGAATTTTTAGTCTTTAGATGATGGGCAGCATAGTAGAAGGGCCTGGGTAGTGAAGAAAGCCACTTATTTCATGGTGGTAGAAAGCAGAGAGCCCAGGAAGAGCTGGGAAAGGAGATATGTTATTCTGGATCATGCTGTCAGTAACTTGTTCCTTATGATCAGAGTCCATCTCCCAATACCAAGTCAGCCTCAGCACCCCCACAATACCATCACCATCCAAAGCACCTACCTATGAGTACATGAGCCTGTTG